ATCTCTAACTATTCAAATGTAATGTCAATCGACGTCTCCAGATGTTTTGATCTATTCTTCGCTTCATCCTTTCCTCTATCACTCCTATTTGCCCACACTCCATTCTCTGTAACCCCTTGCGTGCTAGTGGCTTCCCGCCTTGCTTGGGGTGAAATGCTTAAAAAAAAACATCTTAATGTTCGCGTCTTATGATGTTATTATTAATGTTCCGGCCAATTTACAATGTCTTTACATAGCACACTAAATCAAGAATTAACTTTTATCAAATTTAATGTTTTTATATTCGTGATCTAGAGGCACGGTGTAGTTATGGATAGCGGCTCGGATTGAGGAATCAGTTAGTTCCAATTCCAGTCAAATCCATTACCCTTCTCCCATAGCAAGACAGGTCGGATTCTATAGCCTTGGATGGCAATTGACGTAACGCATTAAAAATGGCAACCTACTGCAAGAAAAAATTCTGCTTCGTCATCTATGTAACGAAACATACATAATCGCCTAAGCTTGTATCACACATGGCACATAACTGACTGACTGAGTGAATGTTATGATCGTTGTTTTTAAAAATTATAAGATGATCAGATGCTACCTGAATTTTACCAGCTTACAATTTTTAAAAACAAGGATCCTAACATTCATCGAGTGTTCTTTAGGTTAATGCACCTTTAAAATTCTGTTTGCGAAGGGATTTCGCCATTTTATATCATTAACTTTACTAATCTACTTTTTGTATGAATGATCCATTGTAATAAAAATTGAACAGCACCATAGATTTTATATATATATATATATATATATATATATATATATATATATATATATAAATATATATATAATTACATGAATCATTCATAAAAAAACAAATATAGAATAATTCATGTAATTATAAATTAAAACTGCAGCTATAAACGAAATATATATATATGTATATATATATATATATATATATATATATATATATATATATATATATATATATATATATATATATATATATATATATATATATATATATATATATATATATATATATATATATATATATATATATATATATATATATATATATATATGTATATATATATATATATATATATATATATATATATATATTTATATATATATATATATATATATATATATATATATATATATATATATATATATATATGTATATATATATATATATATATATATATATATATATATATATATATATATATATATATATATATATATATATTTGATATGAATACAAAAATATTTTTTATTGAAATGATCACTAAAGGAAGCTTTCATGTTGGATTGGTTTGGTTTATTTTGTTTTACGGCAAATTAACCTCAGTGTGGTGATTAATGCCAAAATGATTTTTCTAATAGGATCATATGACCAGAATGTGTATGTATTTTTTTTTTCATGAATGCATTGCAGGTAATTTTTTTTTTTTTTTCAAAAATGTATTGCTGACAATATTTCTTTTCAAAAACCGTGTTGGTGGTAATAATTTTTTTCAAAAATATATTGCAGGTAATATATTTATTTTTCCCAAAATGCATTGCTGCCGGATGTATTTTATGGCCCCACCCAGGATGATTCATTGCGGTGTTGGGTTACTAGGCATTTTTCTACAGCCTTAGCTAATATGGCGCCATGTTGGATGTTTTTAATCATTTTACCCTCAAACAAAGTGCAAATGCTACTAGTACACAGGGATGAAGGAGAGAGAAAAGATCGGTATAGAGGCTACCGAAGAAAGGGTAGAAGATGAATGGAATTCAAAGAGCTAGAAGATGGCGATTGAAGTTGCATTTAAATTTTTGAACATTGTAGTTATCTGGGAAACAAGGAAACGGAAGGGAGTTCCACATGCAGGAAATGTGAGTAAAGAAACTATTAGAATAGAAGTGGCGGTAACATTTAACTAATTCAAGATTAAAAATGGTGGGACTTGACGCCAATCTAGCAGTTCACGTAAGCACACGTTATCTGGACACAAGAGAAAAAAGCTCGTCAGAGCAGTTGTCCACTATTTGCATTATATGTACTATTGTCCTCGTCGCCATATTTGTTACGTTTCGGCCGTTGTACGCTTCGGCCTTCTTCAGGTAGTTGGAATGTTGAACTGAACCCTATATTTCGCTTACTGTTGTAGACTGTTCTAGTTCCACGTGCCATGTTTAATGGATGTTCGTTATCAATTATCTCCTGTTAACACCCCCGCTGAAATTTCTCCACCGCCTTAATCAGGTATTGAACTCACACTCTTTGGGTTTTGTCACAGGATCTAAGCAACGCCTTTATCCACTGTCATGTATCTTTT